GAAATTTTTAGGCAATTCAAAACGTTACTAGCTAAAATGGAACTGCACCAGTAGTTTAATGTGAAAATTGGCTTTGTTTTTTTTGATGTTTTCCAATTTACATTTCTTATTGTGTGTTTGAATTGATGGATTGGAGGGAAGGGGGGAGGAGAGTGAGAGGAAGATAACTCCCTCTCTTTATTTGAATTTCTTCATTAGTGGAGGGAAAGAGGGACAGACGGGTGATGAAGCTCTCTTCAATCTTTTACTTTCCATATCTCTAGATTGGAGGGATTGTAAAGGATTTAATTTACACATTTAATTTTTTAAAACTTTTTTAACAGATAAATATTTAATTATTATTTTATTTCTATTATTTTTTAATTTATAATTTTTAAATATTTTACTTTATTTTTCTTTAAATTATTTAATTAAATAAAAATATTATCCTTCATTGTCCTTCACTTTTATTTATTCAAACAAAATTAACATAAATCATTTCCTTTCCTTTACTTTTCCTCTTTTCTTTTTCCTTAACTAAATTTTATCCAAATAGAGGCTCTTACTTTCGTCTACTCTATAAGTTGGTCTTTTGTACTTTTTTTTTTTTTTTTGAATATGGGGAATTATGGGGATAGGGAAATCTTTCAAATAATTGGATGGAATCAAATTTTTAACCAATTAAATTCAAGTGTTAAGATTTAAGGTAAATCATTTGGCTCAAAAGCCTAATTCAATCCTTTGTACTATTTAATGTTTTTTATAATGGAAATTCCTCATTTTTTTTATCTACTTTATTCGTGTTGTAATTTGACGAGTGGAGACCAAGCACAAAGGCATAACAACGCCCTACTCATGAATAAATCTTAGTTACACCACAATTATCGACATTTTTTTAATAAGCACTGTTGGTATTTTTTTATTGGATAGAATATATAAATTAATATGCAACTATTCATTTAAGAGTTTAGTGTTTTGTAATTTTAATTATATCAAATTGTAAAATATTAATTATTAAATTAAAAAAATATTTTTATTTAATAATTAATATTTTATAATTTAATATTATCTAAACTACAAAATACTTTTTTTTTTGAACGGGTTTATATTGTGAGGAAGGGAGATTTAAATCATAACTCTTGAATCAAGAGTGCACCTTATTACCGCAAAAGTCTCGCGTTGCGAAGCCCAAATGCTACAAAATACTTACTTATTTATTGAATATCACGTCACATAATATAAAACATGGCAGTTTTATAGAGAGGTAAGCTCCAAAGTACAAACTACAAGGAAAAAAAATG